GATGTCTCTTCCAAAATGTACAGAACTTGGAAAATGCAGTCATATACTAATACACACTATCAGAAAGACTAGATTGTCCTGGCTTCTTTGATATGGAAGGTTTCTAGACCATAGGACAACACAGGAGGCGAGACATTTCCTTTCCTGACATTCTTGTTAATGCCAGAAATACACTGAAACCAAAAACATGTCATGTATTCTGTACCATTTAATGCAGCTCATATACGTTCAATGATTTAGGTAACATTTTTTTATACTAATGAACTATCATGTATGGATGACTGATATGTACATGCTTATATTTATTAGTATATTTCTTAGCTGAATGCATTAAAATGAAAATTTCTAAGTCTATTTACTGTAATTGACACATGTAATCATTTCTGTATTCATTGTTGAGCCTCATACAACAAAAAGAATTAACATTTTCTACCATCCAAAAAATGAAGTAGAGTACTTGGATATCAAGCCCTACCTAACTTTAAATGAAGTTGAGTACTGGGATATCAAGCCCTACCTAACTTTAAATGAAGTTGAGTACTGGGATATCAAGCCCTACCTAACTTTAAATGAAGTTGAGTACTGGGATATCAAGCCCTACCTAACTTTAAATGAAGTAGAGTACTGGGATATCAAGCCCTAACTTTACATGAAGTTGAGTACTGGGATATCAAGCCCTACCTAACTTTAAATGAAGTTGAGTACTGGGATATCAAGCCCTACCTAACTTTAAATGAAGTTGAGTACTGGGATATCAAGCCCTACCTAACTTTAAATGAAGTTGAGTACTGGGATATCAAGCCCTACCTAACTTTAAATGAAGTTGAGTACTGGGATATCAAGCCCTACCTAACTTTACATGAAGTTGAGTACTGGGATATCAAGCCCTACCTAACTTTACATGAAGTTGAGTACTGGGATATCAATCCCTACCTAACTTTAAATGAAGTTGAGTACTGGGATTTTAAGTCCTACTTATATTTAAATTAGATTGAGTACTGGGATATTAGTAGTACCTTACTTTTAGTTGATTACAGGGATATCCGGTCCTACTTACTTTAAATGAAATTAAGTACTGGGATGTAATGTTCTACATACATTTTAGTTGAGTACTGGAATATCAGGTCCTACCTACCTTTAAATGAAGTTGAGTACTGGGATATCAAGCATTCTTTGCAATATTGTTAGTTATAACTATAACAAATTATATAACTTTTTCCTCTTGCAAAAGGGAAAAGATGTGACATATTTAGACAATTTTATAACCATTTGCTGTCCAGGCAGAATAGGGAGCAGGTGTAGAAAATATGGTTTGTATATCATATCTCTCTCTCTCTCTCTCTCTCTCTCTCTCTCTCTCTCTCTCTCTCTCTCTCTCTCTCTCTCTCTCTCTCTCTCTCTCTCATTTGACAACATTTATATGACATTGATAATAATGCATTATATTTATCATGTGACAAAATCTATTTATTCAATACATAGCACTGTAGTGAAATGACTTAGACACAATGCTGTGTCTTGTAGAACATCTTGCCATGAGGTTGTGCATGTCTAATTTAGAAAAATTATGTGTATCATATATAATATTGATGGTATTGTAGACAGTTTGTATAATTTGTCACTGTTGACAGAATGTTAATGGTGTTTGAATGTCATTATGAAGAATAGCCAAGATTATTGTGTACTAACAGTTCTTTATGGGCAAATTTTATGTTTGTCAAACCAGTCATAAACCTACTTGTTTAATTACCAACTAACCACCTACCTGTCTCTTTCATCCTATCTGACATGTATATCAGGATATTTCTTTTATGTATATATAGGTAAGGGCAAATATGTACACTTTAGCTTCCAAAATTTAAGGTTTCCTTTGAAAATTTAGACTGAGGAGGAGATAGACATACAAAGCTGTTGACCAACTTCGATGAATATGACAAATGGTTTTAAAATAGAAGATGAGCTTCATTGGTCAGGTGGTTAGCATGCTGGATTTGTAACATAAAGGGTGTGTGTTAGAATCAAGAAAAATTCATGCCAGGGAGTTCAAAGGTGCACATGGTTACTACTATTAAACAAGAATGTTTCACTTTTTCTTTGAAAGCTTGTTATGCAAGTTTGCTTGAATTTGATATGTGCATGGCATTGCTGTACATACCATTATTGTGTGTTAAAGCTATATACATGGCAGACCCTTTTGCCATTTGTTATTTTTTTTCATTACATCATACTTACCTAGACAGAAAAATACAAAAATCTTCGTGTTATTTTTTGTCCATCTTTCACTGCTGCAGAGTTTACAATCTAAATGAACGTAAGTTTTATAATCTTGTCTTTTAGTTTTCTGGATCCAGTCATGGTTGAAGCTCAACATTTTTGTGGCCAACTGCTTGACTGTCTGTTCATAATACCCTTGAGTAATGTCCTTGTGATATTTTTTGAGATTAAGATGAAGGATTAAAAATATTTTTTAGGGTTTGCTGAACAAAAGAAGGCACTTTTTTTGTCTATCATAGGAAAGATGATAAATATTAATTTTTTTCGCTGTAAATGCACTTATCGGGAAAATAGCTTGGCAAAGTATTGTTGCAAACAAGTACAACATGAATAAACTGGGCAGCATATGCTTTCATGTTAAAAGGAGATAAATCTGTCTTGCGAGCTGCAAGCGACTATAGCCAAGTGGGTTGAGGGTTGATATGAAGGGTGTTTGTGTGTGTGTGTGTGTGTGTGTGTGTGTGTGTGTTCACACAACAGATGCATGTGCACATGTTTTTGTTGGCTTATTGAAACATCAAGTTCCAAGATTGACAACATTTACTGCCCATAAACCAATAAGGCCACATATATTAAGACATGCTTGAAAAAATATAAAATATATAGATTGTGAACAATGTAAGTAGTACTAAGAATTGTTTGCATCATTTAGGTTTGTCTTTTACAATACCAATAGGCAAAGGTCTGGTCTCTTTCCTAATTCTACCTTGACCTTGCTGACGTGTATTTTGATATTTTCAGAATGTGTGATAACATTTTTGTATTATGCATACATCGTGTAGCTGACCAGTCATTTGTTCTAGGAGGGATTGATTTATACAGACAAGCAGTCTTGGTTTGAGCCTGTCTTGAAATTGTTAATAAAGGTTAATTAACAATACACGTTTTGTCTTCCTTTGTTATTCAAATGTCCATTTTGAGATTAAGAGATTGAAGTTAGTTATTTAAGGATACAGATAGACAATATAATAATAATATATAAAATTAATATAGAAATACATAGTAAATTCTATTATAATGGTCATAATGGAAACCTTTACTTAGCAGTAGCAGTGAATATTCTATTCAACAACAACCTTCCTCCTTCTTCCCCATGTTAAATTTCATATACATGTATAACTAAATGTCCTGTATATAATGGTCACCTGACTTAGCTGTTCAGCAGTCAGGTGTCTCCTCTCCAAATTAGGGTTTGACTTTGTGATAAGCTGTCACTGGTGATATTTTAAGTGACCACTCGGTCTTTGCGAGAGTGCCCGAGTGGTCTAAAGCTCTCACCGTTACGGATTACTACCATCTGTCTGCGTGGGTTAGAGTCTGGCATTCGGCCAATGCGGATATGGGAGAAAGCTTGCAAGTAGCTTCTTGTGGGTTGTAAGTTCTTTCCTCGGTTTTCCCTAGTTCTTCCTCCACCATTTATACTGGGCGTTATGTATAACCTATTTTGTGCTGGAAAATGGCATTAAACCCTACAACAATAGTCTATGCAAGCTAAATGTTTGCTTTATGAGGAATGGTATTGCTTAAATAAAAGAATATCATGTAAATAATTTTACACATTCTTATATCGCTTGTAATCTGTACTCCAATCCGACTGACAGCCCAACTCAACTCAAAGGTGTAAATATATATTAATTTGAAATGAAGCGGTCATTATCTTTAGGGTAGAGGGTCAAAGTAATTTGTTCGTTAGACGGTGGGGAAACATTCATTGTAGCAGAAATGAAAGTTGCCTTCTGTGCCAGTGTGATTGGTATAGTTAGATATCTTCATTTTTTAGCCCATGAATTAAAGCTATCCCTTAAAAAAAAAGTTTGAGAATGAGATACAAGTTTTCATTGGGATCACGTGTCATTTATTATTTATTATTAAAACCTTGTCTGCATAGGCAGGCAAAGTTTCATTGGTCACAAAAAATAGCTACGTATTTCATCACAAGTGTCTCACGGCTCTCTTTTGGTCATTGCGAGTTGAACAAATAGCTAATCCGGATATTTTAAGCATGAACGAAACTATTTCCAAGCCCAAGTTGTACAAGTGGGGCAATCCCTTGTTTTATTGTCGTATATAATAGTCAATCGGAAGTGAAATTGTTTCAACATGGTGCACAAAACAAAGATTTGTGATAATTTCAAGTCTGTGATGATTTAATTTACAGGATGGAGTAAAGTTGTGTGTGTGTGTGTGTGTGTGTGTGTGTGTGTGTGTGTGTGTGAGAGATTTTTAACGTAGCATTAACAAACTTTCAGTCATATATATCGCTAGGATATATATATATATATATATATATATATATATATATATATATATATATATATATATATATATATATATATATATATATATCGCTGTCTGCAGTGTGGCAGTTTATAATTTTATAATGATGCCTAGCACTGGGGCATCATGCCGCAGACATGTCCCACCCAGTCGCATTCTCCTGACACCAGGCCGACCAGTCCTAACACAAGTCTCTTAATGCTGAGCGCCATAGAATAATAAATGCCAGCAACATTGTTACTGGACTCTAGTCAATCTGATACAGATAGCGCAAATTTTTAGTAAAGCATATTCCGCCACTAAAACTAGATCGTGGAAAACGCAGACATGTACCATGATGTCCCACCCAGCCACATTATTCTGACACCAAGCCGACCAGTTCTACACTAACCTCTTAATTCAGAGCGCCAAGCGAGGCAGCTGTTAGTACCATTTTTATAAGTCTCGTATGACGCGGCCGGAAATCAAACCCACGACCTCCCGCATTCGAGACGGACGCACTATCACTAGGCCACCGGAGCGGTCCAGGATGGAGTAAAGTGAACGGGATAAAGAAATAATGTGATTGATATGAATTTGGGAAATAACATGCATATTTTACGATTTAATTTTTAGTGCATGCTCTAAACACCTCCTAAACTTTGTTTTGTCTATAGTTATCTAGAGGTGATCGCCGACGGTGTCATTTACCAGGAACGAGTAAATGTCTATATAATGTATGACCTTTGGGTGAAATATATAAAGATCTGAGCAGATATATAGAAAAGAATAAGACGAGCCCCCGTTACAAATAAAGACAATTTAATTTTAAAAAATCTTAGCAATATAATTCATAAATAAACATAACAATTTGAAAGATACACTTCTTTCTTTTTGAATCAACTTATTCAAGTAATTTTAAAATACAGATAATATTATATCAATAGCCGATGTGCTAACAATATAATCAAAACATTTAACCGATTGACGGGTCGAATAACTGCCATGTATTGACTCATAACCTAATTTATCACATAGTCGGTATAGTTTTCCTACAGTGCGTGCAGTTTCATATTTTTGATTGATAACATGTGAGTATATCATTTTATGCGATTCTGATTGCTCCAAATAAGCCCATGAAATTATTGTGCACGATTTTCTTTACTAAATTAGCTGGGCTCGTGGGAAAACGTTTTTAATCCCGTTATTTGCAATGTTTTGCTTTGAATGAACATTTTTTTGCGGCCATTTTAAAAACTCGACTCGCAAAATGAAATTGAGGGAAAATTATCTTTGCTGTCTGAATATGGATATGTTACAACTACAGGGGTTCGTTAGGTCATGTTTAACAATATGATCATAAGAAAAATGGCGTAAAACTACGAGACAAGAACAAGAGTAAGGAGTAAAACTAAGGGATAGCGGGTGGTGGGGAGTGCGTGTCGTATATCTGTAATATAGATATGTAATTCCCCATATATACAAGCGTGGTTTAAACGTTAATGAAGTAAACAATGAATTTGTTGACGTCTTCTGTACGGTCTATTGTTACAAATCATACACTGCAAATATCCGGTCACAAATGCATTGCAGTAAATGTAGGAATTTTAGCATCTGGTAATCCTATTTCACATTAAAAATCACCACAATGTAACGCTTAGTTCAGAAAGTTACATTTTAGGGTAAACGTGTACTCTACTGTCGGTCTACTATACTGTGTACCGTATCAATGTGGCAGCATCACATTGCGTTGATTATTCTTGTTTTGAATAAAAATGATTATGTCGTTATAAAGTGTTCTGTTTATGCGGATGGAAGCTTTTTCTTTGATTTATAGTTTGTAATATAGTACAATCTACTTTTACCACTTCAGCTATTTTGCGACTATATTTTACGCACAACAAATGAAAGGTGCACTGTTTGTTCAAAAAGAACGAAATTATCGTTCTTCTTTTGATCTAAATAATTTCCACTGAATTAGAAACTGTGATAAAAAGAATTTCAAATGGATTACGATTTAATATTAAATTTATGAAACACGTTAAATAAAAATGTCCAGCTTTTGCTCGCCAACGCTCGTAAAAGTTAGACATTATTCAACTTGTTTTATAAATTCAATATTAAATTGTTACCCATTTGAGATCCTCTATGTATTAATTCAGTCCGATCCACACCAACTGTTCCTCTTGACTTCCTTGTGCCGGTAAGTCTGGGTCTTCAACACTCTTTTCCTTTCTTTTTCAAATTCTCCGGTATCTCGCCTCTTTCGGCCCTTCCGACTTTGTGTAGCCCGTTTTGGTTTGTAATACGAGATACTTCCTGTCACGTCAGGTTAGTATGACTCGTGAAGCTATCTCACCATGTAAAAATATAAACAAATGAACCTAAATCTTCCGCCACATTATACTGGGGAAATAGATCAATACCCCCTCCCCTCGTTATGTTAGATAAAATTCTATCGGATTTAATCATACCATGGTTATCTAGTTTAAACGAATACGACAGACCATACAAACCTAGTTTCACAGAATTGTTTACTAATGGCGTTTCAGCATCACACAGAGACACTAGTTCCAGACTAGTCCTATTAGACAATAGAATGAATGAAATTCCTTACACTACGGTATTTAACAAATGCACGCAATAAAGTTATCATATGTGACCTCAGCAGGTCGGAGAATTCACATGGATTTTCGTAATCTCTACATTCCAAAAATTTGTGAATGTATATAAAAAGAAAAATATCATTGTGCGGACTCAGATAAACAAACTCGACAGTTATACCATATCAAGAAAATTGATATACGAATTTATAAAAAATAAAACCATGCAAAAACAAAACAAGTAAATCAAACAAATCATAATAATATCGACGCTTTACGTAAAATTGATGTAAAATACCTTGTGCTTTCAAGCTTTTCTGCCTGTCAATTCCTCCAGACAATCGTCTCCCCTGGGTGATTTTACGAGAAATTTACTTATTAAATTATTCGGAGTTTTCTGATGTTAAGTTCGTTTCTTTTTGTAGAAAAGCGTATACTAATTTTAAAACTCGATATTAGCACATTTTAACTGATAGTTTCCATGTGAAACCACGCCCCTATTGAGCGAATTCAATCGGGATGAAATATAGTTCCCGTCTGAACTTTAGGCTGAAACAAATGCAATTCGTCTTAAAAACAAAGATTATCCAAATATTCACGATAACCTTCAGAAATGACAGTTTCCATGCAAATCAGAATTGACCCCAATCCATTTCAATTTAAACAAACGTAGCCCTTAATTAAATAACGATAACTCATAACAAAGCTTGAACCAATCCGTGGATTATGGCGATTTAAATGTGCGCAGGTCTAGTTAATCAAATAACGTGTCTAACTAAATGTTTCATACAGAGATCAAACAACAAAACAAATCGACTGAAAAATTTGCTAATTAACAGAGCACATAACAGTTTTAAAAATGTAACAATAACACAAAAAAGCAACAATAAAAAAGATATTTGGTGCGTTGTTCAAAATTCAAATTTAGAAGATAAACCTGTGTGCGAAGGTCACTGGTGTATAAAGACCAGTTTTAACTTTTCCCATAGTTGGCTACAACTGACAGGTTTGACTTTATTAGTGTTCCTTTAAAAAAAAAAAAAACAGTTTCTCATCCAGTCAAATTAATTTTTGAAGAATGATTTTCATCTTCTAAAAATCTACTTGCAAATCTACCTGCCATGCAGGTCTTGTATATTCGATGTCTAACAATTAACAGACACCTTAGACAAGCTAGGCTTCTAGTGGAAGAGGAGCCCATATACGATCTTAACATGTCCAAAGCATTAAGGTTGTTTTCATCACTGTTGATACGTGAAATTCGAACTTTAATTTATATAGAACAATAAGAAAATGGACGTGCAGTTCAAATTCTAACAATTTCAGTTGAACATGTGAGAGGATTTCCTCAAAGAAAACTACATGCCAATATAAGCATTTTAATTATCTTTTTTACATTATATTATCATTTCACAAATATTTTAATTAAAAACATTGAGTAAAAAACACCATCTTTTCACATGCTAAAAATCATCAACACTAAGAAACTTTCCAATTATTATAAAATATGATTCTTTAAATATCATACGCATGGATTATTGATATCTAGTACAAGAAATTAAAAATTAATAGTTATGGCACATTATTGAGATAATTTTCATTAGTTTTTGATAAAATATCGTGTAACGTATAGTTGTAATTTTAAGAGTGGGTTTTTGGGGTTTCTTAAGTATGGACGGACTTGTAGGAAATTTATCCGGGTACCTGGTCAGGGTACCCAGCCAGGTTAGTGTTTACCGGGTCGGGTTTCTCCACTCTCATTTTGCTCAGTTTCACTAACCCCTCCTCCTCTATCTCTTTCATCGCCATTTTTGTCAACCATAAAATAACGTTTCGTCAATTACAGAAATCATTAATCCTGGGTTTTATTTTTAAGTTTCAGTTATGATTTACTTTTAATAAGAAAACCTATCTTTGTCCAGAGTGCCTGAAGAATTTGGGGGTGGCGTGGGCAATGATGTAGTATAGTCATCTATTAAGTATAACGGATGAAGGCCAACACATGTTTAGTGCTGAATGGGTGTCTGTGTGTGTGCACAAGACACCCTCCCCCTTGCCTCTATGTGCAGGACACCTTGTCTTGTGCCACCTCGTTGAAAATGAAACCGATCATCTCTGCGACACATTCTAGGTCATTCGCAACTTGGAGGTTATTCGTACGGTGCATACCTCAGGTGTTTGTCGATAGCCATTTTGATTACCTCGGTTATTTATGAAGCAAGGTGTTACGAATAATCAAAGCTTAGTTTTATTCGTAACCTTAAGGTAAATCCTTCAGTCAATTCGTATAAATAACCGCGGTGATCCAAATAGATTAGGTTTCATTTTATGTGAACGAGTGATTCTTTTTCTGTAAATTATTACGCCGACATACTTTTTTTAAATCTCAGAAATAGTCTAGGTAGTTGCGAATGATTCAAGGTCTCTTCACGGAAAAGTCGAGAATGAGCCAATTGTATTTTTATAGATGCATATTGTTTTTCTTTTTATCGTCGTAAGAAACCATTGGCATTGCACGTTTCATTGATGGGGTAATAACTCCGTTTGACTTTTTTGTTAGTGGATTTTTGGTATATCTTCCAATTATTTCCATGCTTATAGATGACGGGCGTCTGAAGTTTTATCAATAAAGCACGACGAAATTTCTGACAACATGAAATCAACTTAACGGTATTATAAATTAACACAAGGAATGCAAGCGTGACCACAACCCTCCACTCGATTCCACTTTGTTGACGCTTCTTTTATCCCTTCAGAATCGCACAAGGACTGAAAAACTACACATATCCATTCAAAAAACAGTAACATACCTTCGCATCACTCTCGAACGACCATAGCATAAATCCAATCCGGCAAATGAACCTTTATTTTTACCATTATGGTTACAAATCCTGGAAAAGAGAACCATTTGTGGAAGTAGCCCATTTCTACTGGTTTCTAGCC